GTGCTAGTCTCCCCGAGAAATAGTGAGGTGCGCGCAACCGGCCCGCACACCTCGGTTACCAAAAAAAAAAAACATAATGAAGCAATCAAATTTTCCCAGTCATCTGGACATGACACAAGTTCTCAGCTATCCAACGCTGCATGTAGTCTTCTGATTGTTAAAACTAGTACTTAAGTGAAGACTAATAGCTGGCCGACATCCTATGATGAGCTTTCGCCATGCTAGTAATATAGCAGTATCAGTTACGAAAATAGAAGTAACAATCTTTATGTTGAGGCTTCAGACAAGAGGCAAATTCGATGTCCATAGGTGTGCCACCAGTAAAAGCATGGAAATCAAGGACAACGCTAATCCTCGAGTAGGAGTTTTTCTGGTGCCGGAAGCAAAAATATATAGATAGCGATCAGCAAATTTTTTTCGAAGCAGCTCATCTGAGCACGCTTCAAGTCCATCGACTCTTATAGAGATAAGAGGGCACAAAATCTCCTAATTCTCCCCAAACATCTTTGGTTTTACATGTATCTAAGAGGAAATGTCATGTACAGAAGGGAATGCTTTTCTTTATATTTTACAAAGATCACGAACTAAGAAGATAAGTGCCCGAATGACTTAACTACTTCTCCAATTTCGGTAATCCTTGTTTAGCACGCACACAGAAGGAAATAAAACAAAAAAGGAAAAAAATGTCATGAATCAGATACCTGTTGCAAACCAAGTGGCTGAATAGCAGATGAATCATCTTCAAATGCAGTCCAGAAATCCGGCTCTTCAGACAACCACATCACCACTGTTTCTGTAAGCCTGGCGAGCAATATCTTTTGTATTTTATCTCTTCCAAGTAAAACATCTCCAGCTACAGTAGCTAACTGCTGCGACTTTGCAAATAAAGCCTGCAGCAACATCATCGACATATATTGTTCATCAGAAAAGAAAATAAGGAGAGAAAATGCTATATTTTGTTTTGGCATCATCAAGATATTTTGTTTTTCCCGCTGCGATGTTTATGTTAGAGGCCATGCTCAAAATTATCTCTCAAAAGTTGTCATTACCAAGCATCATCCAAATATGAGTACAATAAAAATAAAGACAGCACAGCCAGAAGCACAAGCCACCATGAATAAATTCTAATGGACTAGTTAAACATGTAAGAAGAGAACTTTCTTTTTCGAGCAGAAAAGCAAGGACATCTATATTGGAAGTTAAAGTACCTGAAATGGAAGTGATGGCAGGGGATCAGAATCCCAATACTGATCTTCCCCATTCTCGCTCAAATATATTTGTGCGTGCAATCGTGTTTTTCCTTCTCTTGAATAGATGAAACTCAAGACATATTGCCTGCAGAAATGATCTCTAAGCTTGTCAAACGAATGTTGTAGGTGGCGCCTCCACTCCTTTACTTCCACTGGAATGGGTGTACTAGGAGAAGCATTTTCCATGGCTCTGGCCCTTTGTTCCTTGCTTTCATTCTGTGGATTTCAGAGGTTCCAGATGGCATCTGGCAACAGTTCATCAGCTATAGTGTAAGCCATTCCCAGGAGCGCAAGCTGCTGTGAATCCATCTCAGCTCTAAAGGGTAACAGCTCCTTAAGTTCCACAAGATTGTCATCGTCGGATGGACCTAGTAAGGCTTTGTTCAGAGCATCGACGTATTTATCAAATGGTTGTGAGACTCTATTTAAAATATTCCCTCCAAAATGCACAACAGCAAGTGGAGTCAGCTGTCCTAGTATCTCCTGCGAAGGAAGATCCATGAGCAGGAACAAAGCAGCAACCACGATGCAAGAAAATTACTTTTCAAAGAGTATTTCATACAATGAAGTTTAGCAGGACTCATTTTGACCAAAAAAGAAAAAAGAGGATCCATTATTCAACAATTGGATAGCTTTTGTGACTTTTGTACGGAGATAAATAGTCCTTAAAAACAAACTGAGAAGGGAGAAACTACATTACTTACGTCAATGATGTACATAAATCTCAGTCCATTGTCAATGATAGCATCATCAGATGATGTTGCAAAGTCAGATAGCGGAGAGACAAAGCGGGGGGACACTGGCAAGTTCTCTTCGCTTTCTACCAAGTTAAGAACTGCTTTCCTAGCCCGTCTAAAATTCAGCTCCAGTACTTCCTCAATATATGGGCGCAAGAGCACCAGAAGTAACTTTGAGAGTTTAAGGCCTTGTGATTCCAACAATGAACAGTAACTAAGACTCGCCTGTATGCAGATATATGTGGCATGTGATGCAGAAAATGTTTCAGAAGATGGTGCATTTTCTTTAACCAGACGGACAAAAAACTCAATTTCCCATTCTGCCCATTGAGCGACTCTGTTGGTATAAGCAGGATTATCGCCAAATATCAAACCTGATTCTTTTATTGTGGCAGAGATGCCGGAGAATACTAGTTTAGCTAGTGTGGCTGAAAATATTCTTGGGCACAAAGAAGATGAAGGAAGAAAAACATCAATGCCCTTTTGGAGATGGGAACCAAAGGATTTCAGCAACAGCTGATGAGCTGAAGGACCTTTCCCAAGGTTAATCAAACAAGAAAGTGCTTTTCTACGTTCAGCTATATTAACTAAAGGTTGCTCCGCAAGCTCAACTAGCTGATCCTCAACCATTGCCTTTTCTTTCCAAAAAAGCTGATCTATATGAGTTTGCCTCCTCAGATAAACTGTCAGCAGAGCCCCTTAGCTCTGGAGATTTTCTCTCTTCTGCAACTAGAGCCTCCACTGCTTCCTTCACTTTGCGCTCAGCCAGGAGAACATCAATGTTGTCCAGGAGTGTCATCCTCTCGTTATACAGTTCACTTAGCGTCGAATCTTGTTCTTCACAAACCTGAGGGTTTTCCTCAGCAACATCATTCAGGCCGCAAGATTTGTTCCAATCTTCCAATTCGCTACAGACACCAGTCACCAAATCCTGCACAAGCAGACCTTGGGAAGAAATGTGTTTCTGCATCTCAGTAAGTTCATGCTTCATCTCCACAACTTCCTTTGAAATTCTGCAATCAGAAGGCATATAAGTACATGCATTGCACAAGTTATACATTTAGAAAGGAAAGAGAAAAGTTAAGTACAATAAAGCAATGGAACTTCACAAATTAGGAAAGTACTTCACAGAATCTGAACAAAGCAAGCATAAAATGTAATCACAAACTAAAAGAAAAACTCTCCTAGTTCATTCGAGAAATTTTAGCATATTGATATGCTTAATTGCTTATACTTAATAGGATTTCCAAATTGTACAAAATTGCACGCGTCATCACATCACTGACACATTTGACTGAATTTGTATGGCCAAGGAAACGATTTACCTTTTTAAGAATGTTGATAAAACGATATATGCAACGTACAGCTTTCGATCGCAAATTCATTTAAGTTAACGTGTTATATAAAGCATCCAAGATAACTGTTGCCAGGAAGTAGATGTTACTCAAGCCATACATTAACCAAGATAGCTCTTGGCGAGAAAATAAACTTTTACACAGACATCAGAAGTGGCCCTATTTTCTTTCAAGAAACATATGCATTTCAAATTCAATTTTGAAAGGTCAAAGGGATGATTATAAAAAATAACTAAGAAGAGGAATGACAGAGAAAAGATTACGAAAAAGATTCTCCGAACAAAGATTCTAAAATTGCAAAGATACACTGTAGACAAGGAAAAGGCAAAAACTATAACTCTTGCAGATTATTGCAATCTCAAACATGGTTATGCCAGAAATAAGCATTAGACATAAAGGTAGCTGAACCGCTAAACATGGTTATGCCAGAAAACTTTAGAAAAGGAAGTCGTAAGCACGAGTTAGAAATTAAGGAAAAAAAAACATTTGCCCCAAACAAACTTTTGCCAGAAAAAAAGAAAAAGAAAAAGGGAATTAACAGTGTGCAGTACTGATCAAAAATCAAATATAATACACTTTTAGCAAAATAAAAAAGTGGAGGAGCTTTTGATTGATGTACCACGCTTGAAGCAGTGTAATGGAATATAATGAATACAAAATGATAAAATGGAAGAGAAAGTGATTTGAAATGGACATTACCTATGTATTTTACACTAGGGTTAATATCACAAAAAACCCAAAACTGGTACATCTGTTATAAATTTACCCAAAACTAATTTTTTTATTACAAAAAACCTCAAACTGGTACATTTCTGACAAATTTACCCTCCGTTAAATTGAATTAATACCACGAAAAATCACAAATCAATACATTTGTGACAAACGGAGGGTAAAACCCCCAAACTGGTACTCCCGTTAACTGCCACATGTCATCCAACTCAGAAATTTGACGGTAAAATTTAACGAAAACTAAATGAGGGTAAAATTATCACAGATGTACCAGTTTGAAGCTTTTTGGTGGTCAAAAAATTAGTTTGGGGTAAATTTATCACAGTTGTACCAGTTTGGGGTTTTTCATGATATTGACCCTTTACACTATTATTCTCTACTATATCGGAAATTTGGGCTTATTTTATCCTATACTATTTATTAATATCAAATATCATATTAAAACTAATAATAAGACAAAAAATATAATCTCTTTTATCATGTGGGCGAGCGGGAGGCCCTTGCCTATGATTGGCACCCACTGTTCAGGCCTATAATTTTTTACGAGCACTCGTCTGTTGATCATGTCTAATTAAGACATTAGTTTCCAATTTTGTTTGATAGAAAAATCATGGGAGGATTGGCACTATTAGAGAGAGAGTAAAAAACAAAATGAGATCTTCTAAACATTAATTTTTCACCTCTCATTTGTAACACCTTTGACTCAGAAAATTTAAATCGAAATCGTTTAAGTCCCGCGATGTTATCGATAGGTGAGATCTACCCAAATTGTCACCATATAGCGTGAATACTCAAAGTATTCGAACCAGATCGGGTTGTTACGCATGAGCATTTATTCTCATGTGTGTTCAGCGAATACCTTGGAGAATTTTGGTATTCCATATATAAAAAAAGTCAGGTAGAGCAAAAAGAAATAGTTATATTTATACGAGAAAGCACATACATAACGCTATTAATTTCAAGCCCTTACAATGGAAAAGGAGACCCAAAACGGCAGACCCAGATTTTCATCCAACCTGGGCAGACTGAAAAAAGTACATTACACACCAAGCACATAATTTCCTTTTTCTTTTTCTGAACAATCAAAGCATATAACTGAAAACACCAAGATCGCCATGGCCTTGTACTTGCTCTCCATTAGATGTCCCTGATCATAACTCACCGCCATATGTTCAAAGACACCACTTATAACAGATTAGCAATTCTTAATCTTATAAGTTGTTGATTAATTAATTAATTCTTGGGTCTAATGAGAACTCCCTTGAGGACAAGCCCCCTCTTCCAATGCCCACCATACTCAAACATGGACACCTCCATCTCTCCCTCCTTATACTCTGATGTGCTCAGCTCTCCTGCTTTGATCTCTATCCAGTTTCCCCTCGGCTTCTCCCTCAGATTCTCCTTGTGCTCTTGCTTCGTCCCACCCGGGAAAGTCGCCCGGAAGTTCACCGGAACCTCCCACCCGTGACCTGACGATCCTAGTAAGATCACAAAGACCACTTCGTAGGTCGTCCCCGGGGACAGCTTCGACACGTCGAACCTTCCGTGCGCCTCCAGCCAGCACACGTTGAGCAGCTCGGCCATTTCCACCAGGGCCACGTCGCTGCGAAACTTTTACACTGATTGTTAGGGTAGATTATCAGAACATGATTAAGCAAGCGTAGAACGAAATGAGTTCATAGTATTGGTAAAATCAGGTGTGCTTTTCACCTGGGTGCATCTTTCTGGGTCACCCAATTCCAGTAAGAGTTGTTCTCAGCCCAAGTGATAGAGAGGCCCCGTGCATATATCATGAAGCAATTCTTCTTCGATTTCTTTTCCACCGAGTATTTCTGCCATCATATCAATTTAAACAGGACAACATTACATGCCTAATTTGCTCATTCACTTCTCCTAGCTAATCGAAAATCCAAACGTGATCGAAAGACATATTCGCCGATTTACCGAAATGCGCACATAAAAAGCGAACGAGTTGCTTTTCAGAACCGGTATGCCAGGCTCTGTGAACTCGTGTTCCGACAGTCATGCGTATTTCGATGTGGATTTCGGCAAGGAAAAAGCATATGGAGTGGAGTGTGGCTTACCATGGTCCTATTCTTCAGGAAAACACCAGCACAGAGCTGATCATACAGCCTCTCCAGGGGGATGTGATCATGAATTGGAGGTGAATCAGACTCCCTCAAAATGGATTGATACTGATGTGGATGACCCTCTTCTTCCTTGGCTTCTGATGCTCTCTCTGGTTTGGAGTTCTCTTCAGTGATGATAATCTCCCTCACAGTGTCATCTCCTTGTGACCACCATCCTGTTTCCATCTTCTCCCCCAAATCTCAAGCTTCCTCTTGCTCCACTATATATACACAGCATCAATGTGACTCGTGACGAGACTTTATTCCCATGTTGTGGATGAATTCCAAGGGGAATAAAATGGCTTTTTCCATCTTTTAGCAAATCTTCAAGGGGTTAAAAAGTAAATATTCCTTGACCGACCTCGAAGAAAAGGTTCTACTAAAGCAGGGTCTTTCTGCAAATCTCTCCCCCAAGTTCTTAAAATTTTGGATTTAGCAAGTTCTAGGAATGAATGCAATTTGATGTGCTTATTAGGGTAAATAACATCGTGGCCTCGCAATCTGGGGAACTAACTTTCGATTAGCGAAAACTTTGTTTATAGCAAATTACCAAAGAAGCACTCTGACAGGCAATTCTAACTGTCGGACCGTCATGAAGATTCTGATATCCATCGGATCACAAACGCGTGGCCGTGCTCGTGTATTTTTCTAATATTCCTTCTTATCTTCAGACGTATTCCGGCATTTTTGTATGGAGAAAGAATGAAAGGAACGTATCATTGTATAATTTCGAATTGTCATTAGAGAGAGAAAGAGGCTACGCTATTTGACAGTAATTAGTAGTTAATGTACTAAACAGTGCTTAAATACGCTATACACTTGCCGACGATTCACCAACAATTCAGCACTGTACTAAGCACCAACCTATACTCTCCATGAATTTTAATCTACTTCACAGTCCCTGTTGATGAATGCCAGTCTCAAGTTTCAGAACTCAAGGGATCTTGATCAATCTACCTTGTGATATAGCGATTGGCCGATGGCCATGTCCGCTAAAAGCTAAAGACGGGACGCGATGAGCTCCTACCTTTATCTTCTGGGGAAGATATAACTAGATGAATGAGATACATATGTAAATATATCTTAGCTCTCGGGATCGGTGAACCTGGGGCTTTCAAGTTCTCCCATGCTCGCAGAAGCAAACGACTCGACGGATTCGACCGTTGAAAGAGAAGAAGCAGACTCATCGGAATCGGAGATGATATCGTCATGTATGATGTGGTCCTCGTCAATTTCAGAGGTGTCTGAACCCGATGTTCCTAGAAGCTTGTTTATTGCCGATTTTGCAGTTTCAACAAACCATTCATCCTCCCGCAGTGCACTACAAAAACAGGAGAGGGGGAGAAAGCAGTATTTAGTTTTTAAGTCATACGGGGAGAGAGAGAGAGAGAGAGAGAGCATTGAATGATACCTCTGAGGGTCTATGCCTCTAGCAGAAAACGTCCTGATTGCACGGGCAATGATGGCTGATGCAATCTGGTGCACATGCCGAGATGGATAACCAGCAAAGCGCGCTATTTCAACAGTGAAGTGCATATCAAGAATCAACTGCATCAAATCGAGCACATGAACGGAGCAAATTAGTATCAGGATATCTTCAAACCCAAATAATCTGAACCAAGTGGGTAATAAGAAACAACAATAAGACCTTCAGATAACCATAAACATCAAAAGAAAACAGCAGAATGTTAACCAAACAGGTTTAAGAGGACTATACAGATACCACAATGGAAGCAACAAAATAGCGAAGGACTTTGCTTTATATGAACAACGGATAGCAGAAACAAATAGTTTGCATCACCTTTTAAGACAAGCTAGAAAAGACCTTACTTAAGAGAGAGACAGACCACTACATGTTTGAAAGTATGCAGTATTAAATTTGGGATTTAATGGACCCATAATTGGAATATCAGCTGATCAGCAGATGAACAGAATGAAGCAATCAAATTTTCCCAGTCATCTGGACATAACATGAGTTCTCAGCTATCCAACGCTGTATGTAGTCTTATGATTGTTAAAACTAGTACTTAAGTGGAGACTAATAGCCGGCCAACATCCTATGATAAGCTTTCGCCATGCTGGTAATATAGCGGTATCAGTTACGAAAATAGAAGTAACGATCTTTATGTTGAGGCTTCAGACAAGAGGCAAATTTCAATGTCCATAGGCGTGCCACCAGCAAAAGGATGGAAATCAAGGACAATGCTAATCCTCGTGTAGGAGTTATTCTGGTGCCGGAAGCAAAAATATATAAATAGTGACCTTCACAAATTTTTTTCGAAGCAGCTCATCTGAACACGCTTTAAGTCCTTCCACTCTTATAGAGATAAGAGGGCACAAAATCTCCTAATTCTCCCCAAACATCTTTGGTATTACATGTATCTAAGAGGAAATCTGATGTACACAAGGGAATGCTTTTCTTTATATTTTACAAAGATCACGAACTAAGAAGATAAGTGCCTGAATGACTTAAATACTTCTCGCATTTCGGTAATCCTTGTTTAGCATGCACACAAAAGGAAATAAAACAAAAAAGGAAAAAAATGTCATGAATCAGATACCTGTTGCAAACCAAGTGGCTGAATAGCAGATGAATCATCTTCAAATGCACTCCAGAAATCCTGCTCTTCAGACAACCACATCACCACTGTTTCTGTAAGCCTGGCGAGCAATATCTTTTGTATTTTATCTCTTCCAAGTAAAACATCTCCAGCTACAGTAGCTAACTGCTGCAACTTTGCAAATAAAGCCTGCAGCAACATCGTCAACATATATTGTTCATCAGAAAAGAAAATAAGGTGAGAAAATGCTATATTTTGTTTTGGCATCATCAAGATATTTTGTTTTTCCCGCAGTGATGTTTATGTTAGAGGCCATGCTCAAAATTATCTCTCAAAAGTTGTCGTTACCAAGCATCATCCAAACATGAGTACAATAGAAATAAAGACAGCACAGCCAGAAGCACAAGCCACCATGAATAAATTCTAATAGATTGGTTAAACATGTAAGAAGAGACAACTTTCTTTTCGGGCAGAAAACCAAGGACATCTATATTGGAAGTAAAAGTACCTGAAATGGAAGTGATGGCAGGGGATCAGAATCCCAATACTGATCTTCCCCATTCTCGCTCAAATAAATTTGTGCGTGCAATCGTGTTTTTCCTTCTCTTGAATAGATGAAACTCAAGACATATTGCCTGCAGAAATGATCTCTAAGCTTGTCAAACGAATGTTGTAGGTGGCGACTCCACTCCTTTACTTCCGCTGGAATGGGTGTACTAGGAGAAGCATCCGGCCCTTTGTTCCTTGCTTTCATTCTGTGGATTCCAGAGGTTCCAGATGGCATCTGGTAACAGTTCATCAGCTATAGTGTAAGCCATTCCCAGGAGCGCAAGCTGCTGTGAATCCGTCTCAGCTCTAAAGGGTAACAGCTCCTTAAGTTCCACAAGATTGTCATCGTCGGATGGACCTGGTAAGGCTTTGTTCAGAGCATCGACGTATTTATCAAATAGTTGTGAGACTCTATTTAAAATATTCCCTCCAAAATGCACAACAGCAAGTGGAGTCAGCTGTCCTAGTATCTCCTGCGAAGGAACATCCATGAGCAGGAACAAAGCAGCAGCCACAATGCAAGAAAATTACTTTTCAAATAGTATTTCATACAATGAAGTTTAGTAGGACTCATTTTGACCAAAAAAGAAAAAAGAGGATCCCCATTATTCAACAATTGGATAGCTTTTGTGACTTTTGTACGGAGATAAATAGTCCTTAAAAACAAACTGAGAAGGGAGAAACTACATTACTTACGTCAATGATGTACATAAATCTCAGTCCATTGTCAATGATAGCATCATCAGATGATGTTGCAAAGGCAGATAGCCGAGAGACAAAGCAGGGGGACACTGGCAAGTTCTCTTCGCTTTCTACCAAGTTAAGAACTGCTTTCCTAGCCCGTCTAAAATTCAGCTCCAGTACTTCCTCAATATATGGGCGCAAGAGCACCAGAAGTAACTTTGAGAGTTTAAGGCCTTGTGATTCTAACAATGAACAGTAACTAAGACTCGCCTGTATGCAGATACATGCGGCATGTAATGCAGAAACTGTATCAGAAGATGGTGCATTTTCTTTAACCAGACGGACAAAAAACTCAATTTCCCATTCTGCCCATTGAACGACTCTGTTGGTATAAGCAGGATTATCGCCAAATACCAAACCTGATTCTTTTATTGTGGCCGAGATGCCGGAGAATACTAGTTTAGCTAGTGTGGCTGAAAATATTCTTGGGCACAAGGAAGATGAAGGAAGAAAAACATCAATGCTCTTCTGGAGATGGGAACCAAAGGATTTCAGCAACAGCTGATGGGCTGAAGGACCTTTCCCAAGGTTAATCAAACAAGAAAGTGCTTTTCTACGTTCAGCTATATTAACTAAAGGTTGCTCAGCAAGCTCAACTAGCTGATCCTCAACCATTGCCTTTCTTTCCAAAAAAGCTAATCTATATGAGTTTGCCTCCTCAGATAAACTGTCAGCAGAGCCCTTTAGCTCTGGATATTTTCTCTCTTCAGCAACTAGAGCCTCCACTGCTTCCTCCACTTTGTGCTCAGCCAGAAGAACATCAATGTTGTCCAAGAGTGTCATCCTCTCGTTATACAGTTCACTTAGTGTCGAATCTTCTTCTTCACAAACCTGAGGGTTTTCCTCAGCAGCATCATTCAGGCCGCAAGATTTGTTCCAATCTTCCAATTCGCTACAGACACCAGTCACCAAATCCTGCACAAGCAGACCTTGGGAAGAAATGTGTTTCTGCATCTCAGTAAGTTCATGCTTCATCTCCACAACTTCCTCTGAAATTCTGCAATCAGAAGGCATATAAGTACATGCATTGCACAAGTTATACATTTAGAAAGGAAAGAGAAAACTTAAGTACAATAAAGCAATGGAACTTCACAAATTAGGAAAGTACTTCACAGAATCTGAACAAAGCAAGCATAATATGTAATCACAAACTAAAAGAAAAACTCTCCTAGTTCATTCAAGAAATTTCAGTATATTGATATGCTTAATTGCTTATACTTAATGGGATTTCCAAATTGTACAAAATTGCACGCGTCATCACATCACTGACACATTTGACTGAATTTGTATGGCCAAGGAAACGATTTACCATTTTTAAAAAGGTAATAAAACGATATATGCAACGTACAGCTTTCGATCCCAAATTCATATAAGTTCACGCGTTATATAAAGCATCCAAGATAACTGTTGCCAGGAAGTAGGTGTTACTCAATCCATACATAAACCAAGATAACTCTTGGCAAGAAAATAAACTTTTACACAGACATCAGAAGTGGCCTATTTTCTTTCAAGAAACATATGCATCTCAAATTCAATTTTGAAAGGTCAAAGGGATGATTATAAAAAATAACTAAGAAGAGGAATGACAGAGAAAAGATTACGAAAAAGAATCTCCGAACAAAGATTCTAACATTGCAAAGATACACTGTAGACAAGGAAAAGGCAAAAACCATAACTCTTGCAGATTATTGCAATCTCAAACATGGTTATGCCAGAAATAAGCATTAGATATAAAGGTAGCTGAACCACTAAAGATAATTCTTTGGATCATGAGCAGATTAAATTGTGGACATTTATTACCTTAAAAAAGCCAGGTACTTTGTGCGCATGTTACCACATAAGTTTTCGACTGCATCTTTCAGATCCAAGAGTTCACAACAAAGCTGTCTAATGCCCTGCAGCATACAATAGACTAGATTATAGTATGAGATACCATGATCTTGCAGTTCCATTATCATAAGCAAAAATAGCATTGCAGAAATCAAAAAGAATAATTCCAAAGGTTCCAAACCTTAGTCGAAAATCATATTATAAATAAGTTAAATTAGCAGCAAGTTTAGATACCAACACAGTAAAGAATTAAAAGGTGTATAACTATACTGCCCTGTATGTCTCAAATAAAGTGTTTGCATAGTTGATTGGTTCAGGTCCAGAGCTTAACTGATTGATCAAAACTGGTGAATGTACTGTACCATAATGTCAAAACCGTATCCAAAACTAGGACAACTTTATAAATTAAGTACATAAGCTTTAATGTCTAACTAATTCGGGTAGAGCTAGCTTTGAAATAGGTTGAATGTTGTGGTTGTCCCAATACTATCTTCTTTTTTCATTTGACGCATTTTCGTCGTGAATAAAACAATTTCATTCGCTAAGCTTATCTAAAATGCAATACATTCATTTTGAAAGTTGCAAGAAGTTGCAAGCTATTATCTTATACAAATGACACAACAACATAACATTAATGCACCACATATTCTGACCTCCAAGTACACCGCTGGAGATGATCAGAATTGAATAACCTCTTTCAAAAATTGAGTTAAACGGTGAGGATTGAAATTGTCCACACGCCTAGATAAAGAAGAATAGATATTCATTCTTCTTGCAATTGTCTTACCAGAATTCTACAGGATCGAATAGAATATCATATGTTCGGACTTAGTGAGCAATGATTCTGCATTAAGTTATTGTTCGAGTCTTTCAGGCCTTAAACTGAATCCACTGCATGATTTCTTTAATCTTTATTAAGCAACATAAGCAAATGATTCAATTGCATGGAGAGTTGAAATTTTCAGTAACATTAGGCAAGATGCTATTATGATTTTCTTGGCAACAGCAAGGAGTTGTTATGTTAAATACTGCTATGTACTACAAAAGTGTGGCTCCTAAAAAAAGTGCAAACTCCGCGGACTCTCTCCAATTGGAATACGTGCCTTGAGACTACAAGTTCCTGAACTTCGTAACGCTTGATGCAGTGCTTAAGAATCAACAGAGAGGACTAATCCCAATTTTAACCTGGACATAAATTTATGCCCATCTGGGTCATCTTTCAGGAAAGCATAATCGTTTCTTGGGTTTGCAGTCAGAAACATACAACTTTTATCGGCACTACACAAAATATTCAACCAGAAGCATTCTTGCTGGAAGGATCAAATAAAGACAAGCAATCAGAGTTCACGCAATATTTACTTGTAGATCTCCAAATTAATGAGCAAACGACGCTAAAGCAACCGCATGACCATTTAGGCTTGACACCAATAACTGCACCAACAATAACAAAAACTTTGAGACGACTTTTAATGAAACAAGTGAACTTGAAGCACTGTTTAGCTTAGTTAGTTTTAATTGTGCCCCATGGAAAATTTCAATAAAGGAAGAGCTTAATCACATAATTTTTTTGTAAAAAGAATGAAAAACTAGCTCTTCCACAAAGCAAAACGCTGACATTATTAGTGAGATGAACCAATGGATGTCATACATCTCCATCTTTCTCCTCATAAGCACAAATTCGCCCAGTAGTTGGGATACATAGAAACGACACCCAGCAAACTAGCAGCAAACTCGATTCAAGCACGATGAACTCCAGCAGCAAGAATATGCTCATAACATTCCGACAGGAGTACAAAAGAGCGATGACAGAGGGTTTTTGACCCAAGAAATTGCTTTCTAGTTTATCAAAGAGTCAAGGATGATCACGATGGTCATCGGACCGTCAGATAAATCAAAAGAACCCCAGATTTTTCAACTGATCGAGACCAATGTAGTATACCCATTAGAGAAAAAGAACAGAAAACTGCGAATGCCCAAATGCGAAGCGCGGAAGAACGTCCAGGTCACGATGGTCTTTAGAAGGAACAAGCAAAAAAGATGCACAATCTGCTATCGAATTAAGAGCTCCACATCCTTTAGCCAGGCAAAACAAACTTGAGTTCCGAAACTTGAAATTCCCATTTCGAGACATCCTCAAGACATGCGCCAAGAAAATGAAAATCAAGAGAGAAAAAGAGAGACCTTTTCAGTTCGGGACTGATAGAGCGAGTCGATCTTGGACTGCGGAATGATGCTCTCGATGGATGGGAAGTCGTCATCTTCTTCACTGCTCTCCATCTCTCTCTCTCTCTCTCTCTCCCCCTGTGCCACTAAGCTTTTAGGTTTTCGGGCACTTCCCACTACTTCAGCTGCTACCCATTCACGGGTTGTTCGGACGAAAGCAAGAAAGCAAGAAAAGAACGAAACTTGACGGGGAGAAAGGTCGAGATTTGGCAAGGAGCGCGACTACAAGCAAGCTGCAAGCCTGCAAGAACTGAACTGAGGAAAGCAAATGGGCACACGCTCCGCTCGGCCCGTCGGACAAGAAAGGAAGACTCCGAGAAACGAAATGGGATTTTTGACAGCAAGAAGTCTCGCGAGCGAAACATCATGCGTCGACCAACGTACGTAAGTCTGCTAAGAATTGGAAGATTTTTGTCTTTTCGATTTGCCCCTCGAAATGCAAAGTCTTGATTCCATGACGTATCATTTCCCGTTGATACTGTACTGGGGAAAGGAGGAAAGTTCCAGGAAGCCTCGGCTTTTGTTGTAACCCTAGCTCGAAACGCGTTTCAAGTGTAGCTTTATTTGCATCGGGCTCGCACCCGTAACTAGTAAACTAGTTTAAAGCACATGCGCGACGACGACTCGGACCAACCAACAATAGTAGTCGGCACCATCGAGATTGTTGTTGGCCTAGTAGTGATAAGGGGTTGTTCATCTTTTGCAAGATCGTGAGCTCGATTCACATCGAGAGCGAATCCCTTGATGACTCGTGCTGTGTTATCTGACTGCGGCGTGCATCGTGCGAAAAGATTTCCTGACTGCTAGAATCTTGATGGAACCAGTGACGGGCTTGTCAAACCTCAAACTGTCGAGTTGTGAGCGTGAGAAGTAATTATGATTCAAATTTTGTAATGAGTGTCAAACCCTTATGATAACGTCTAGGGAGTCACTGGCGCCGGTCGCCCCTCTTGACCCTTTCTACATTTAAAAAAAAGAAAACACGATATCTAATGAGCTCCTATCTAGATTGATTGAAGACAACTGAAGATTGACTCGGGCAACTGAGGTTGAGGATCAGATCGGAGGCAATCACGCAAGGACTAGCGGCATTGTAGGACAGATCGATCGAGGGCGAACAATGACATATTTTCTATGACCTAGGATTATTAGAAAGCGGCGTAAGGTGATTTTGATTCGGGATCGGACAGTGTCATGCCTAGAACGACCGCACGAGGTAGCAAACCACTCAATACCAAAGCATATTCGAGTCTTCATTCATATATGAAATTCACACCTCTATTTGCAAAAACTGTATACATTTGCTTTCTCAGTCTAAGCTAAAGACAACTTAAATACCCTCCATCATGTAAGACATCCCCAAAAGTCTTAACTTCACACCACCCACGTACCCAAACTTTCAAACCAAACACCACAAACCAGCCCCCCCTCCACCGTCTCAGACCGCTCAGCCGACGCCTTCTTGGCCCCCTTCCTCCCTCTTCCGACCCGGGTCGAGTCCCGAGCGATCTTGAATTGGGCATGAACTCTTTTCATGACCCAGACCTAATCATAATCCTTACGACAATTTTATTTATTAATTATGGTTAAAAGAGTATTGGAGAGCACTCCTTAAGCAAGACCCAATTTTTTTTTTCAATTCCTTTTCTTTCAAATATGGGCCTGCAAAATTTTTAGCGATTTTTGTAATGGCCCAAAAATATTCACATTTATAATTTTAGTTCCTTGTATTTACTAAAAAAAATTTCCCTGATATAGCAGTTTTGAGTGGTGGAGAACTGTCGCTAACGAGCAACGGTAACCGGCGAACTCACCCAAACTCAATGCCGGCGGCGGCGGCGCCGTGCTTTGCGTCCGGAGCGCCTCTCCTGGGTTCATCTCCTCCGAGAGCGAAGCGTCATCGTCGGCTTCACCTAGCGAATCAGTCAGCTGCGGCCTCGCCGTCTCGCAGAGAGGTCTCCGTCTTCCTCGGCTCGAGCGCCTTGCTCGGGTCATTCGGGCTCTCGCTCTTCGTCCCCGCCTCTCCTTCCATGTCCGCGTCGCCGGAGTTCTTCGAGCTCCCGGACTCCGGCGGCGTGAGGGTGCTGGACCTTCGGATTGGCTCCGGCGAGGCTCCTTCTGCCGGCGACGAGGTCTCTTCCCTCTCTCTCTCTCTCTCTCGATCTCTCGAACAATGTCTTGATGGTCTTGAGTGATGTTGATGGAAAGGTTAATACAGTTGCAATGAAACCTGGGAATTCCAGTATTCCAAAAGCAGAGGACCCATCTTTTCGTTTCTAAATTATGCCTATTTCACAGCAGTTCCTGGACTTGCACAGCGTGTGTTAGGAAAACCCAGTAAAGTATAGAACCAGTGAAGATGAGCATCGTGCACTGCAATTGCAATTTAATTTGTTGTTACCCAAATTAGACTGATGAACTTCGGTTTTGCCGATTTTCGGATGTGTCTTCTGAATGTCAACTGCAATCTGTTGCTTTTAATCGTATTTTTAGATTGGAAAGTGCTGTGCAGTGTGCATTGCTGATAATTGTGCAGTCGTGTTCTCTGTATTCATGGTCTCGCTTTCGCGGATCACATTCCGATACGTTGGTAAACTTGCATGATTAATTAGAAGCTACCCGAGAGTCTCCGTCGTGGCAACAGATCAATCAACTTACTTTAGGTTTTGGGTGCGAAGGTCGCTATACATTACTATGGAAGATTGGCAGCAAAGCAAGGATGGAGATTTGATTCCACGTATGATCACAAAGATAGCACCGGGGATTCAGTTCCTTTTGTCTTCACACTTGGTTCAGAGAATGTAAGTTAACATCTTTGCTCTCTCTCCTTCTGCTCGACCATAATGGATACTGTCAAGAACTTCGAGTTCTTTAGCAAAACTTTTCTTGTTCACTATCATGTTCTTTACCACTCTCCACATCCCCAGCCCTCATTTCTTCCCTCCTCTCTGCAACACCACAAAAATTAGGAATAGCAGGAACAGAAGGCTAAGATTCTCTGAATCGTTCCGGTTTTAATTCACTTTCGTGTTCTTAATCAGCAGAAAAGCCTTTTTTGTTGCAAATCGACTGCATTGGTATGCTAGCCGTTTGTTTCGAGGAAAATCAACGATTTGGAAAACATTTTCCTAAAAATTGACTCACTTGTATCTTTTAAAAAAATTAATGAACAAACAATATTTTCATCTTCAATGAGGCTTAGATTGTTGTTGATGATAATAACATTTCCGTTTGAACAAACAATTTCAGAAAGTATTTTCAAAACTATTGATTTTTTGCGAAACAAATACACTAAAGCTTGCCTCTCCATTATTGACTTCAATCTTCCAAAGATGATGTTCACGTGCATTTTTCTTCAAAATCTGATGCCCCAATATTGCAACCTCCATAACATGTTCTCACATAAAAGAGGGTCCTGGGGTAGGTCAAATTGGCCAAACTTTCTTTCTTTCTTTGGCTGAATTTTTAATTTCTTTGAATGCGGGATCGTCAGGATTGGATGTGGGTTCGCGATCCTATACGATCCGGATGGTGATCGCACGCCAATCTCAAAAGCCAATGATTAGACCAGCGATCCGGATTGTTCAGCCAGATCTCGATCATAGGACCGCATAATCCTGAAAACCACGGTTGCATCGAAGGTCCTCTGGTGATGTGCAAAAATTAAACTTGCAGGTAATTTCAGGGATTCAAGCTGCCGTGAAATCCATGAAAGTAGGTGGTATCCGTAGAGTCGTTATTCCGCCATCACAAGGATACCAGAGCACATCCCAAGAACCTATACCACCAAATGTATGTTATACATGTCCCAATTCCTCCTCTATTGTCTCTTTTTCACTGCTTTCATTATTGTTCAGGCCAATTTTGGAGCACCCAAAGGTTTTTCTTCGAAATCTGCTCAATATGTTCCTCAGTTTGGTCTTGTTAAAATTGTGAAAGTTGTGTTGCCTTTTATTTTGTGCGCTCTTTGGAGTTCTTTACCTTCCATAGATATTTGGTCTTCTAAATACTAGAGCATCCATTTCACCAATTAGTTAATTGGAACATTACAGACGTGATTTTTAGATAGAGAATTTCTTTCATTGTAGTTTTTACAGGATTATGATATTCAGGTTCTAAACAAATTCTCAATTAGCATGACTAAGTTCTTCTACAGTTCTTTGACAGGCAGAGGCTGTTTACTACAATTTTTAATCCGACCCGTCTTGCCAATGGTGAAGGTTCCACATTGGGCACTCTTATCTTTGACATAGAATTAGTCAACCTGAGACACCAATAATTTTCGGATGAACGCTCTTTAGATGATCTTCAACTCACGAGAAAGGGTTAGCCATAATCTTCTACTTCTTTCAATTCGTAGCACTACATTCCACTTTCTTTTTTACGTTGTTAAATCGTGTAAGGTGATTATGTCAAGGCGGTGATAATTTTGCCAAGCCCTTGGCTCCATCAACTACTTCTTTTCAGATATTAAGATACTGAAAAGAAAACAAATGATGGGCAAAGAAATAACTAATGGAATTAGGCTCTCTTCCCGATTTAATGATCACAATCAAAGGTTTCTGGGGTGTGGATCTGATTATCCTAAACCATGTATAGGCTTAGAAGTGACTGAATAATAAGAGGAGAAAAGGCAAACGATGATGCCTTGTAACGATGTGTCGGGCTGAGACAGTGCCTAGACTTAATTCTCTATCTGCCCGAGAGAGTTTTTGCTCGACCAAGTATCAGAAAGACTATCAGACCAAACAAATCTCAAGGGACTTTTGAAATTTGTACTCTTTGCCAAAGAAATGCATCTGAGTCGTGATTTTGATATGGATAATCCACTAAGAATACTAACCATAGAGCATGCTTGGTTTAGCTTGGTCCTTTATGAAGTTGGATGGCATGTTATTTGATCACATCCCATAAGAAGATTTCAAGGAATGAGACTTTAGTTACTAGTCTTTCTGATACAAGATGACACAATTGACATGATCAACAATGACTAAAGCAGAAGGGTTCAATGGATGCAAGGATGAAAAACCAGAGAGCAGAAAAATATTTAAGGGACTGGAATTCAGGAAAAGCACACTTATTTTAGGATGAGAGGATTACACATAGGCTTGAGATATGTTCTTGCTTTGCCTGGAACGCATCACTGAGGACTATAGTAAAGGACCACATTATGCTTCTTTATGGTGTTAACAAAATCATCTCATTATTTAAGTCTTTATTTTCATCCGGCATTGAGCTTCTTTTTTACATTGACCGGTGTTCATCTTTGAAGATCATGTCAGGACTTTGATGGAAATCACTTCCTTTAGTTGCTCCCGACGTCCTGCCTAAGGTCAACTGTACACATTCACTTGTTGTCAGGATATCTTGTGTTTCCAACTGTAAAACCAACTTCCTTAATGGCTCTCCTTCTGATTGTATTTGGGCTTACTTCTTTCCGCCCTTCGTCCTGAAATTGATTCATTTTGATCTTACCATCTTAACGTATCGATGTGATCAAGTCACGTCTAGGTTGTCTCTCAAGAAAGGCACATCATAGACGTATATAAGGCAACTCGGGATGTTCTCCAAGATTAGCTCCAGAATTTGAGAGTAATTCCATAGCCTGAGCATGTTCTCTCTCTTTTTTGGCCACATTCAGCCTGAGCATGTTCAAACCTGGGATAAAAGTTGGGAATCCACTTGGGCAATAAGGTGAGACTTGATATGGTGTCTCGTCAAAGAGTCTGTTCAGAGATGTGACTTTGTTGTTCAACCTATGCGGATCGTCAACAAGGGCATAAGTGTTTTCTTATCTAGTGAGCGATGTTGAAACATGCTGTGGACCTGATTCTTCAGGTCATTATGTTTTCATCTACTTTTCAACGAAGAAATTATTCCGTCATCTCCTTCAGCCCCAAGATGCTTCTTTTTTTCCCTGTTGTAGGGAAGTGGAGTGGATGCTTCCGCAGTGCACAGAGGTAACATTCTCCATGCCGCAAAAGTTGAACTTCTGAGGATCCTAGTGTCTTTACCTTACCCGCATGACAATCATACATGTCCCCTTTATAGTCTATGCGAAATATTGTTTGGTACTCTGTTCCTGGTAGCTTCATAACCTAATTATTGGTAAAATCCTAAATCTTGATTCAGCTGTCTGTGGGAACCATGTGCATTTCATGAGGATAAGATTCTTGTTCATTCGTCATCGGCAGATGAATACTGTTTTATGCAAGACGGTGAAATCAAAGAGAGTGCGCCGGTTCAAACTTCCCGGTATGCTATAAAGGATGAACCAAAGTACGAAGGTCGCGGGACAATTAAGACAGCTTTTTTGGCTCTTGTTCCATTCTTTGACAATCAATTGGCTCTCTTTTGGGAAAAATCAGTGTGTTCCTATACTCATGTGGTGGGGGTTCCTATATCACAGCTAGTCTTTCATGCTGAATCCCAACAGCACGAGCTCTGTACCATGTTCTTCCACCATAAAGGCGGCCCTCTTCCAATTCCCTCGCTCTAGTAAGGCTCGAAACGCAACGTAACTGACGCATTATTACCGACTAATGAAATGTTCTTGGTCGTGGGGCACATCAGATAATATTCGATTGCACGTGTCTTTCTTCCTCTACGACGTGCGTATCCTTAAAATGGACATGCCATTATCATCAGGACGTTCAATGTGGCCGTCGGTTCTCATGCACGCGATCGGAATCCCCTTCTTGAATGAAACGCTCTTATCCGTCGTGCATCGGATGATAATCTACATAAACATCAATCAGATGATAAGCTTTTTCGGGTCAAACCAATGTAGGTTTTACTCATTTCTCATGCACGCGTTCTGAGTAAAAAACTACATCGAGAAACCGCTCGACCATCATCACAAGATTGACAAGGGGCTTCGCTGCATCTTTTGTCAAAGCTTTTACCAAATTGCGGAGGACGATTTCACGTGTTGAACCATGCTGGTGCACAGTCGGCCCGTGACGGGTTGAAATCCTGCTGGAGAGCTTGATGATTTTTCTTTTATAAATTCTGCGTTGGAAGGTGACGGATCAACCGCCGATAAGCGCGGTTGACCCTTCTTTACCTTATTGGCCGCGGGTTCACCGGAATCTCTCCTACGAATCTTCTCTCGGTGCTTTCTATTTGGCCATGAAATATTATTTACAAAGGAATATTAAAAAAAAAAAACCGTGAAACGAAAGAAGAAGCAATTACACTCTTTTACACATTGTGAGGACGAGACGCCGTAAAATCAAATTTTATAAAAGAGAAAAAACAATTCATATTCGGTGACATGATGTTTTGCGTTTCATTACAAGGAAATGCCGTAAAGTCGTAATAAAAAAATTTCACATGTTACGACGCTCGGGACTTACTTATGACAAAACTTTGTAAGCCTTCCGAAAATGTCATTGAAACAAAATAATAATAATTACACCTTATGACATTTTTGCGTTTCGTTATGGTGAATTATTGAACGTAAGTAGATCGTTGCAGAACAAAAAGAAAATCGCATTATATTTATGATGTTTTGCACTTGATTTGGACAAAGCGCCACAATCAATTTCGAACCATTGTAAAATGTAAAATTTGTATCTTACAACATCACGAAATGTCGTGAGGACCAATTACACCACACCGATACATGTGATTTCTCTTAAAATTTTACAACGTCACGACATATCATCATAACCGAGTTTAGGACGCCATAAAATGCATTTTGCCTTCTTTCACTACGCTACCACGTTTTATTTTTGAGTAAGTACAAAACAAGTGAAAAAGAAAGGTTTGGTTGTATAGTCTATGTCATACCGTATCATGGAATATCCCGATCACGAAAGAACCTCAAGTCCTAATCTCACCCACGGACACAATCGTCCTTCCGCCCAAAAGGATCAATCGAGTCCTTTCGAAAAATATACGATATTTAGAGCGGCCAATCCAAATGTTCTCCTCTTTATGATCACTAGCTAACGTCGTTTTCTGTAGTTTTAAAATACACATTTTGTTTCTGTCGAAGTATCGGCCATGGAGATATTTTCCGTTGACAAATTTTTCTCTCGACACCGCGCAAATTGGACACAACTTCAAATCAAGCTAAGTCTAAGTTAAGCCCTAGAAATTAGATCCTAATCCCAAAGTCCAAATCTATCAATTTTTTAAATTTTTTTTCTTATTGGGTCACGCCATGCCAATGAGCAGGCAATTTCATGGATTGGGATGTCTTTTGTCCACACACGTAATTTTCCATACGAAGCAAAGTTGGACATGAATTATCCAAAAACATGACTAATTTAATACTGATTAAACCAAGAAAAATTATACATAATCATCAATCCCCTTGACTTCAAGTGACTGTCGCGGACTTTTAAGGCCAGAAATTCTCTTAGGTTACTCCAAATGTCACGCATGGAAAGAGTGATGTGAAATTAAAAAAGAAAAGAAAAAGGAAAAAGGCTCAAACAAGACATAAACTTTATTCATATTTAATGTGATTAATTTGAGTAATGCAATATGTTCACATCATTTGGTACGACTTTTGGGATGGCTGACGTTGGACCCACGATTTCGTGGATTGTTCTTGATTTTGTACGTGAATTATATATGTAAGCACGACAAGATTTTCCCTGTCTTGTCAATTTCAAAAACCAAGCTGAAGCAGCCCTCCAAAATGGACATATTCCAAAAGATTGACAAAGAAATTAAATTGACAGGGAGGATCAACGGAGAACCAAGTAGATCCAAATCCATCCGATTCTTGTGATTTGAAAGCCAATTTGGCGTCGTCGTCTATCGGACATTTTCTTCAGAAATGTTCCTGTTTTGAAGCCCAGTTTGTCAATTTCTAGAGTTCACATTACATGTGTGAATACATAGTTTAGTGTTTCTAGTATAGTGTTTTCCTTTCGTTTTTATATTATGGATAGATATTAAATGTAGAAAATTTGTTGCGGTTACGTGTCCAAATAATGATAACTTAAGACGGGCCATGGTTTTTAACCAATGATGTAAGTTTTTCAAGTTTTTTTAGCTCGTGTTTTCTTGATTAAATTTAATTAAGCCCGTAAAGTAAGAGATTAAATTTGACCCGATATAACACTAATTGAGGTTTTACTTGTACTGTCACGGAGATCACGAGCTAAAATATACTTAAATAGAACTATCGTAATATTTATAAAGACCAAAAAGATTAAAAGGTGATAAATATTATCATATATGTTGTTGATTTAGAAAATGGATTGAAATGAAAAAAAAATGCTCTAAAAATCTAGGTAACAGTGTAATTATATCTTGAAATAGTAACGAATAACTTATTCGACGAATAACTTATTCGACTTTGTTATAGAAACTTCAAGAATTAGATTGAACAAATCGAATATTTACGGACAAGATTAAAATATTTAGGAATAGTTCAAGGACCCGCATTGAAAGAATTAAGAGTTCAAGGATGATATTACACGTTATGCCAAAGTTTAAGAACAATCGGCGCCATTTTCCCTTTATTAAACGTGTGTAGAAGCTACCCCCCGGTCTACAATTAGGTAAATTTCCACCCAAGTGAAAGTGTAAAACCGGGCCATCAATTTCAATTCTGGTTAATTACTTTCCCTTCTACCGCTAATAATTCCTACTATATGTCATTTTGACTTTTCAAGTCCAAAAACGAAGCCCTTAGAAGGATAAGCATTTAATCGTTTTTTTTCCCTTCAAAATTTTAGAGGAAGAAAATATGGAAAAACAAAAAAACGATTAGATGTGTACATACGTCGGCCTATAAAGAAAGCAAACGATATAATCGACTATCTCTAGTAACGTCCAACTTGTTTTCCTCGTGTAAATCGCCGGTTTTTCTTTCTGTCGACAACTACGTCGAGGTCTCCTCGCGCGTCCAAAAATAGTCCGACATAAACCCCGATTTTTTCAAATCCCCCCATCTTTTCTTTTTCCTAATGTGGGTCTTTGCCCTACAAATCGGGGCATCAACATCATCAAATCGCTAGAAATTCAAACAACAACGTCCCGAACGCATCGGCTAAACAGGGACAGTTCAGCAAATTCCAAAGGTTTGGCGGGCATGTGAGGTTGCGTTTCGCTTAAGACACGACCCCAATTTCGAGGAAACCCCCGCGACTTGAAAAAAACAAGGGACAAAAAATGTAAGTAATTCGAGATCTCATGCAGCTAGCTGGAAAAAAAATTTAAGATTTTATATTGCTGTCGGTATTTTCATTTTCCCGAATGCAGAAGAAATTTCTCAAACAGAAAAAAAAAAAGGAATCAAAACGGTTAATTATCCGTTCGACGGTTAGGTAATTTGATATTGGAAAATGACGGTAACTTCGAGATGCGACTTTTCTCGGGGTATATATAGTTTGGTGCTTCTTAAATCGAAGCTTTCTTTTTTTTTTTTTCATTTAACATGCATAATCGATGTTCTTGCTTAGGTATCCGTTGACGAAATCGAAGTACGAAATAAGCTTATGCTCTTAAAAGAATTGAAAACATGTCAAATGCGATAGAACGACACGTCGCTGGAAATATGTCGAGGGCGGTGCGTTCGGGTGACAGAGTGTCGCCTTGACAAAATCTGATCCGTTCCGAGACATTCCAGGAACCGATTAAAGCTCACATTTTAATCAATTTGATCCTTTCTAGAAGGGCATGTATATAGTGTATGGATCAAGAAAAATCAAGCCATGCATAATGACAAAGACGCAGATATTTTTTTCAAAAAAAAAAATGCCACGTAATGTGCCCGCCATGATATCTCCAGTGGGTCTTCTCGTGCATCATGTGAAACGAGACACGATTTTCTTGGCGTGAAATTGTTGGGCAAATGACATTTTTTGACATCCCACAAAGTGGAGTCAAATCATGTTTTTCTTCTTGACGCCCTCTTAT